ACTGGAGCTGAACCCCCGGGCGGGCCACACGCAGCGCCTCATCTCACTCACGGGCTACGGGGCAGGGGACTGGCTACTCGCCATCCCCTACATGCCCGCCCTGCGGCTCTGCCCCGAACACTTCACCTTTGCCCTCCAGTTCCGGCTCGGCCTGCCCATGTCCGTACCCAAGTGCTGTGACTGTGTCAAGCGGGTTGCTATCCTCGACAAGAGGCTGCCAAACCACCTACTACGCTGTGGTACGGGACACGGTCGGACCAACACGCACAACGAGCTCCGCGACGAGTGCATCCGCATGGCACAGGATGCCGGGTTTGCGGTACACAAGGAATGCACTGCCTTCAGCCCGGTGGATAACAAGAAGGCCGATTTGGCCTTCCGGGATCGGACCTCGGGGGCGGTATGGCTGGCAGACGTAACGATCACAGACCCCATAAGCAAACGAGATGAGAGGGCAAGGAAGGGGAGGGGCTGGGCAGCGCGGGAGCAAGCAGACAAGAAAATAGGGCTTTACCATGGCAGGGCAGACTTCGCAGGGTTCTTCCCCTTAGCAGTAGAAACCTACGGCTGCCCCTGCGAGGAAGTACCGACCTTCCTCAAGCTCCTAGCTGACACGGCAGCGAGGAAGCTCTTTAATGCGGACCCCTCTACCTACCAGGCCGCTAAGATGCTTCATCAATTCCGCCAGCGGTGGTCGGTGGCCCTGCAAAGAGCACAGGCGGTTAGCTTCCTCATGAAGCTGAACCTTGTAGCACAGGCGGAAAACCCCCCCTTAGGAGGACCGGAGGGGGAGCTGAACCCAGGGGACTGTTTTGCAACACTTGAGCCCCCGCATAGGGGCTGCTAGGGAGCATGGGTAGTCACTCACATGTTTGTTTCTGTTGTGTGATAACTATACTTGTTGTACGGCATGTTATATCAATGGAGGACCGTTTGAGAGAGAGAGAGAGAGAGAGAGAGAGAGAGAGAGAGAGAGAGAGAGAGAGAGAGAGAGAGAGAGAGAGAGAGAGAGAGAGAGAGGCCCTAGGAGCTAGTCCTTATCCTCTCCAGCACTCTTCAGCCTAGTATAAAGTGCTCCTCTCCAGCTAGCGCTCTTCATTGTTCGGTTCTCTTTCACTTGTTTCTCCTAACCGATCGAGAGAGAGAGGAGAGAGAGAGAGAGAGGCCCTAGGAGCTAGTCCTTATCCTCTCCAGCACTCTTCAGCCTAGTATAAAGTGCTCCTCTCCAGCTAGCGCTCTTCATTGTTCGGTTCTCTTTCACTTGTTTCTCCTAACCGAGCGAGAGAGAGAGGAGAGAGAGAGAGAGAGAGAGGCCCTAGGAGCTAGTCCTTATCCTCTCCAGCACTCTTCAGCCTAGTATAAAGTGCTCCTCTGCAGCTAGCGCTCTTCATTGTTCGGTTCTCTTTCACTTGTTTCTCCTAACCGAGCGGCTCGCGCCGGCAGCCTTCGGCGGCCGACGCTCGACAGCGCGGCCTTCGGCCGCGCATTAGAGGTGGCAAGGAAAAACACACACGGTTGACTACAAGCAACGGCATAAAAACAGTGGCGGCATCAACACAATCCTAAGCATCATGGCCATGCAGGGGCAAGCGGAGGCAGGATCTACATCCGGTGAGCTCCAAGGGCATGGAGAATGCCAGTCAATGTCCGCCACAGCTCCCGGACCACCAGCGTACTTGCGCCGATCGCCGCGGATCCAGATCCAGCGCGCAAGTGCCGATTCAAGCCCCGGACAGCCTCGTCCAGCTGTCCCGCAGCAGCAGCGCCACCCTCCGCGGGCGCAGCCAGCACGGGCGCCAGCAGCACGGCGAGCTGGTCCGCAGCATCCAAGCAAGTCTCGCGCGGACGGTCGCGAAACGTCCCAGGAGGGACCACAGGGAGGGACGCATGAGCAAGGACTTGTACCAGCAGCAACGCGTGCAGACTCTCGGCGAGGCGGTGGAGCTGCCCGAGAGTTGATTCGGGAACACGCATCTGCGGAGGCTGAAGCGCCTCCGCCAGGAATCGGAGCGGCTCATCAGCTCCACACTGAGCCGTTGCCGCGCCGCCACCCGCGGCCACAAACTCCACCCCCGCAACAGGCGGAACCGTCGGCAGATGCAGACGAGAGCTGGGAGCAGGCGCCGCTACAGAGGGAGCAGACGGGACGAGGACAGGGGAAGGAAGTAGATCGGTCGGCGGAGGGACTGCAGGAGGCACAGGCAGACGAGGAGCGGGGGAATGGGTGCGCGACAAGCAACGGTCAGGCGACGGAGGGCGTGACGACTGGCTTGTAGGAGCCACCGCCGTCACAGCGGGGGCGGACTGACCCGCCGCCGCAGGCGCAACCGACGGAGCCGGTTTGCCAGTGGTGGCGGACGCCGCCTTTCGTGACGAAGCAGAGGCCTGCGCAGGCAAGCAGGGGACAGAAGCGGTCGGTGCAACAAGGGCACCAGGGACAGGTGCAGGGGGCTCAGCAACACCCCCAGCAGGGGCGGATGCCGACGGTTTGACAAGGGGAGCTAGCGGGCCAGGTACCGCAGGCAGAGCAGACGGAACAGCAGCGGTAGCGGACGGGCAAGCCTCTGACCCGGCAAGGGGATCCGCGGGTGCGTGGGGAGGAGTCTTTTCAGAGATTGCTGTCACGGGTTTCGAAGCCGGCGGTAGAGGGGGCTTCGTCGCCATGGTCGCCCATTCGGGCTCCGCCGGAGGCTTGGCAACCACAGCCGACCAGGCAGCAACGAGCTCTGGCGACGGCTCAGGTGCTTTGGCAATCACCATCCCTAGAGCAGGGAAGCCGCGGGGCGAGGAGAGAAACCGTAAGCGGAACAGGCGGAGGACCAGAGAATGGGTATCAGGCGGCGGCGCGCGTGGCTTTAAACAACGTGGAGGAAACTAATGACGAAGATGAGCGGGACGACCCATCTTATAGGGAAGAAGCCCCCCCCCAAAAGCGAGAACGAGGAGACGGAGGGGGAAGGCATGGCGAGAGAAGGACCGAGGAGAAGGGAAGAGGTAGTGCAGCAGGCGGACTTGCAAGTGCCACAGATGGCTCAACCATCGTTCGATGCCGATCAGACGGGTGCAAATCCAACCTCAAGCCCACTAATAAGATCGAGCCGCGCCGGGAGAAATCGAACCGCCAATGCCAGTACCGTGGCGCGCCCATCAGCATCAATTCTCTGCTACTTTTCACCAGACGAGCTCGCGAAGCGGACAGACCTGTTCGCAGGCATCGCGAATTGGGATATTGCAGCACTATGCGACAGTCGTCAGCCACCACTGTCGCGGCGTTTACCGCCAAACCTATGTCAGCTTTTTTTGCTTGCGCTACTGACACCGTTTCACCACCTATCACGAAACCCTGATTCAGAGACGGGTTGGCGCCTGCTGCTGTTTCTCCTGCGCCTGACACTTTGCCAGACCTCACCACAACGCCCGAACTGGCCAAGTGTCAAGGGTCGGCTCCGAGCTTTCCAGCGTGGCGAATGGGATCAGTTGTACCAGGACGCGTTGAACGCAGTCAACACACCGCCCCTGCCACGACATCAGCCGGATGCGACTGGTGTCATCAGCCGTGCGGAGAGCCTAACGAAACGTGGCAGTCTGCGCCGAGCTGTGCTGGCCCTCAAGTCAACGCCCGTCTGCACACCCAGCCCGGAAATATTGGAGGAGCTGCGCCAAAAGCACCCACCCGCCGCAGACGAGGCGGTGACGTGGCCCGAGCCACAAGGGTCAAAGCTGTCAATCCCCCACCCTGACTTCGCAAAAATGTTGGGAAGATGCGAGAATGGGGTCAGAGCCGGACCATCCGGGATGACATTCGAGCACCGGCGCGACGCGGCGATCACCAACGGAATGGTCAGCACCCATCTACATAACTTGGTCAACACAATGCTGGGAGGAAAATTGCCAGGCTCGGTTGCAAACCTGCTGACGACGTCACGACTCATAGCCCTCGCCAAGCGGGGGGGAGGGTGTTGGATGCACGTCATTCTGAGTGCATGTCATCCTAACGTCCTGCCGAGTGCTCGTGCTATTTGTGCTTGCATGATTTGCATGAGCGTATGTCATTGTGCATGGCTGTTGGATATTATCATCTCTGTTTTTCTCCAAGTTTAAATGCTTGATCATGTAGGAGAAATCCAGAGCTTTCCAACGATACCAAGATCGCCTTATTCCGACCAAGATCGCCCAAGTTACAAGATTTCCAAGATTTGGATTTCTTATTACCTTTTGGGGTTATATCTAATTTGGGTGATTACTTGGGACATGACTATAAAGGGATTTTTGGTTGGGTGGTTAGGAAGCCATCTTTGACTTTTGGATTGGGGTGGCTAGAAGTTTCTAGCATGGGTTGCAAATGTTGCAACACCTAGGCAAAATCCAACTAGATTGGATTTTGCATGTGACACCTCAAGGACCTCATGATGAGGGTTGCATCCTTGCTGCTAGGAAGGTTCTTACCATCCTTCCTTAGCTCTTGGAGAACCCCTTCCCTCTCATGGTTCTCTTGGAGGTTCCCAACTCCAACTTCCTATGCCTTAATGCTTGTACTTCCTCCACCATTCTAGTCATGCGGCTGCTGGACGTTTTTACTTATTTTCTCACTCTATAGACCATCTTAACAACGGATTCAACTTGGAGATGGTAGCTAAGCCTAAGGCGCAACTTCCTACCGAGCGGATTTGCGTTTAGTTGAGAATTGAGTTCGTCGTAAGCTCTCAAAGTGACGGATCCTGAACAACAAGTGGTATCAGAGCGGGTAGTCGACTTTGAGACGACGAATCGTCGTGAATACTCAACCAATGTTGTCGAGTGAGACCATTTTCTAGTAGCTCGGCTTGCGAACTTTCGATTGCTGGTTGATTCGCGTTCGACTTCGAAGTATTCAGTCCGCGACGGCGATTTTCGTAGAATCGAAATTTCTGGCAGAATTCTCTCCAAACGATTTCTCAAGTTTCCACCGTTCATAAGGCCTCAATATGGTTGGTACGAACTCCGGAGGTGCTAGTGGCGAGATGGATAGAAATAGAGAGGCTGGAGAACTGGGGGGAGTTGCTGGTGGAGGAGTGGGGACTCACCAACCAGCCAACCCTACGCTACCTACTTCTTCTACACCATCTCCTAATACCGTGGATCCTGTGAAAGCTTTCTCTATTGAGAAATTCATGGGGGAGGACTACGAGCACTGGAGTTTCCGCATGAGGCTGATGTATACCCAATACAAGCTATTGGATTTGGTGGAGGGGAAGGAGAAGATGCCGGAGGCCGCGGAGCTGAAAGGAGCGTGGATGAAGCGATCGTTCGACGCGTATATGCTCATGGTGCAAGCGGTGGGCGGACGGCAACTTGACCACATCAAGGACCTCTTGGGTGATCCAGAGTGTGGTCCCAAGGCTTGGAGGAAGCTTCTGGATGTGCACTCACCGACACATGCTACCGGCATCGTGCTACTCGCGCGGCGGCTGCGCGACATCAAGTTCGTTGATGGAGAGCCGATGCAACCGGTGTTGGATGAGATGCGCGACATCTTCACAAAGCTCCAAGGAGGCGGTGTGGTGTACCCGGAGCTCGTGCAATGCGTGGAGATCGTGATACGGCTGCCGGAGTCATGGTCTGCCCTAACGATCAACCTCAACTCCCAACAACCCCAATGGAGCGTGGTTTACATTCGCGCGCGCATCCTAGAGGAGGACTTGCGGCGGCGGAGTGTGGAGCGCTCGGAGGAGGGGGCTGGCTATGGAGTTGGAGGTGGAAAGAGTGGCTTCAAGAAGAAGTGGAAGGGCAAGAATAAGGATAACCATAAGGAGGATGGCGGCGGGGGTCAAGGGGAGGTGTGCTTCTACTGCAAGAAGCGCGGACATCGTTGGCGGAAGTGCTACCAACGACCCAAGGATTGGACCCCGCCTTCATCAAGCAACCAGCGTGGTGGCACAAGGAGTGGGGGAGTCATGGGAGCTAGTGGAGACGAGAAGGATGAGGAGAAAGGCGGCAAATCTGAGGAGCGGAAGGCCGGGTTCTTCTTCTTCGTGAACGAAGGCGCAACCGACCACGCTATGGCTGCCAAGGTTCTCCTACACCCCCTCACCCATTGGGTGATTGACTCTGGGAGCTCTTGGCACATGACTCCTCGTGCGGACCTGCTTGATGAGATTCAGCCAGCACCCATATCTACAGTTACATCCGCGACGGGCGCGAAGGCCAAAGTCATGGGCATGGGATGCGCCAAGTTCATGGGAGCGGATGGAGAGCTCGTGGGGCTGAAGAATGTGCTGTGGGTGCCGGACTTGTGTGCGAACCTGATTTCTACCGACCGGTTGGGAGATGCGGGTGTGAACACCGAGACGATTGGCTCGGAGCGCTATCGTGCCTACAACGATGAGCGGCTGATTTGGGACCTGCAGTGGAAAGGGGATGTCCACAAGCGGATGTGGCAGATCCCGGTCCTCCCTTGGCGGAAATCGGGCAAGGCGGCAATGGCGGCATCTATGGAGGAGAGCGTTACCGAGGAGGAGCAGCAAGGTGTGCAAGGAGAGGAGCTGGTTGGAGGAAGCGCGGCGGTGAAGGCGTCGGCTACCTCGGGCCAAGCGGATTGGGAGACTTGGCATCGGCGGCTCGCACACGTGGCTGTTTCTACATTGGAGGTGATGCACAAAGAGAAGTGCGTGCATGGGCTGCAACTGCAAGGAGATGGCGCTCACTATGGCAGCTGCGAGGCATGCATGCAAAACAAGTTTGCGCGGTTCCCGTTCCCACGAGCGGAGGGATCAGCGAAGGCACCATTGGAGGTGGTGCACATGGACCTGGTGGGTCCTATGAGGACTGAGGGGACTGGGGGAGTGCTCTACTTCCTCACCATGGTGGACGAATGGAGCCGTTTCACGTGGGCGCATCCCTTGTCCAAGAAGAGCGATGCTGCAGCGGCAATCAAGGAGGATTGGTTGCCGATGGTGGAGCGGCAAGCGATGCGGCTGGTGAAGGTGCTGAGGAGCGACCGAGGTGGAGAGTTCCTTGGAGCGGAATTCACCAAGTTTCTCAAGAGACATGGCATCCGACATCAGCTGACCTGCCCTGGAACACCGCAGCAGAACGGCATTGCTGAGCGTGCCAACCGGACCATTGGGGAGGCGGCTAAGACCTTGTTGGGGGCTGCTGGGATGCCCTACAAGTTCTGGCCTGATGCCGTTCGCCATGTCATCATGGTCAAGAACAGGGTCTTGACTCATGTTGGCGACAAGCATTGGGTGCCGTACGAGCGTTGGCTTGGGAAGAAGCCATCTATTGACATGCTGCGTGTGTGGGGCTGCATGGGGCTTGTGATGGTGCATAAGGAGCAGAGGCACAAGCTGGAAGTTGCTGCTCTGTGGGCTGTCCATCTTGGGATGGCTCCTGACTCGAAGGGGTGGCTGATGTGGGACCCCAAGAGCAAGAAGTCGCTGGTCAGCCGTGATGTCAAGTTTGTGGAGGACGTCATGTACAAGGACTGGCAGCAGCAGCAGCAGGTGCATATTGGCTTGCGCCTGCAGGAGATTGAGCGGTCTGCAGTGGAGGAGGTTCAGCTGCACCTTGAGGATCTCCCTGGGTCAGAGCTGACCAGTGACCACAGTGGCGGTGGTGAGCAGCAAGGCGCTGGTCCTACTGCGGAGGAGGGGTTGGAGGATGAGTCGGCACGTGTGGACTCACCATCTCAGCCCGAGCCTGCTGCAAACACCAAGGTCACCAAGAGGAGTGTGCAGAGAGGAGCTTCACCACATGGGCAGCAGACTGTAACCCGTGAGAAGAGAGTGGCAGCAGCACCCTCAAGGCTGAAGTATAGCCGTTTGGGAGGACCCAAGCAAGGTGCCATGGCGGTTCAGGTGGATGAGGGAGAGGATGAGGAGATGGCGTTCTGTTTCTTCACACCCTTGCCTGGAGAACCAGCCACAGTGGAGGAGGCACTTAGTGGACCCCAGAAAGAGGAGTGGAGGGCTGCCATGGATGCAGAGTTCAACAGTCTCATTGAGAATGGGACTTGGGAGCTTGTTGAGTTACCCGAGGGGCGACGGCCGATCAGCAGCAAGTGGGTCTTCAAAGTGAAGAGTGGTGCTGATGGTGTGCTGGAGCGGTTCAAGAGCCGTTTGGTCGCCAAGGGGTTTCAGCAGAAGGAGAAGGTCGACTTTGGGGAGATCTTCGCTCCCGTTGCTAAGCCATTGACATTGAGGACTTTGATGGCTGGCGCAGCTGTGAAGGGATGGCACGTGAAGCAGATGGATATCACCACTGCATTCCTCAATGGAATACTGCTGGAGGATATCTACATGGCGCAGCCCGACGGCTATGATGATGGGACCAGCCGGGTGTGCAAGCTTAAGAAGGCCATCTATGGCCTTAAGCAAGCGCCCAGGTGTTGGTATGAGAAGCTGGAGGAGGTGCTGCTGGGTGGAGGCTTCAAGACGTCCCAGGCGGATCACAGCTTGTTTCTGCTTGAAGAGGGGGAGCAGCTGCTTTTGCTGCTGGTGTATGTCGACGACATACTGCTGTTCTCACCTTCCATGGAGCAGATTGAGAGGACACAGAAGCTGCTGATGGACAACTTCAAGTGCAAGATGCTGGGGGATGTCCACTACTACTTGGGGCTGCAGATTGAGAGGGATGTTGAGAGGAGGTGGCTGAAGGTGCATCAGTCACACTACATCTCTGGTGTCATGGAGCGGTATGGTGTGACTGGGGGTCGCACTGTGATGACACCGTTCCCTGCAGGCTTCAAATTGAAGAAGGCAGCAGAGGAGGATGATGTGCTTGAGGATGAGCAGCAGAATGAGTACCAACCACTCATTGGGAGTGTGATGTATGCAGCTGTGCATACGCGACCTGATGCTTCATTCGGAGTGGGGCAGCTGGCCAGAGTTGTGCAACGGCCCACTGTGGAGCAGTTGGAGGTGGCAAAGCGCTTGGTGTGCTACCTTGGATCAACGGCATCTGCTGGTGTTCAGTTTTCAGCTGGCGGCCAGCTGAAACAGATTGGAGCAGATGGGGTCACGCCTGGTACCTTGAAGCTGTCGTGCTTCACCGACGCCACATGGGCCTCAGAGGATGAGGATCAATCATCGGTTGGCGGCTTTGTGTGCATGGTCGGAGGTGGACCAGTGAGCTGGAGGTCCAAGAAGCAGAGTGAGATTGCTCAGTCTTCCGGAGAGGTATAATACATGGCGATGTACCATGCCATCAAGGAGATCGTGCTCCTGAGGAAGCTGCTGGAGGACATGGGAGCTGAACAGGAGGGACCTACACCACTTTTCTCCGACAGCGAGGCTGCTATTGGCATGGCCAATAATCCTATCCTGAATGGGCTGAACAAGCACATGAAGATTAAGTGGCACTGGGTGAGGCAGATGGTGAAAGAGGGAGCTGTTGAGCTTCGCCATGTGAAGGCTAGCAAGCAAGCGGCAGATTTTCTCACAAAGAGACTTCCCGAGAGCGCACATTGGAAGTGTGCTAAGATGTGCGGCATGGCATTGCACTAGTGTGGGCAGCAGTGTCATGAATGCATGTGTGATTGTGTGCATGAGACTATGCATGTGTGTGGGTGTGTGTGCATGCAGTCCGTTAGTCTGAGGGGGAGTTTGTTGGATGCACGTCATTCTGAGTGCATGTCATCCTAACGTCCTGCCGAGTGCTCGTGCTATTTGTGCTTGCATGATTTGCATGAGCGTATGTCATTGTGCATGGCTGTTGGATATTATCATCTCTGTGTTTTTCTCCAAGTTTAAATGCTTTATCATGCAGGAGAAATCCAGAGCTTTCCAACGATACCAAGATCGCCTTATTCCGACCAAGATCGCCCAAGTTACAAGATTTCCAAGATTTGGATTTCTTATTACCTTTTGGGGTTATATCTAATTTGGGTGATTACTTGGGACATGACTCTAAAGGGATCTTTGGTTGGGTGGTTAGGAAGCCAACTTTGACTTTTGGATTGGGGTGGCTAGAAGTTTCTAGCATGGGTTGCAAATGTTGCAACACCTAGGCAAAATCCAACTAGATTGGATTTTGCATGTGACACCTCAAGGACCTCATGATGAGGGTTGCATCCTTGCTGCTAGGAAGGTTCTTACCATCCTTCCTTAGCTCTTGGAGAACCCCTTCCCTCTCATGGTTCTCTTGGAGGTTCCCAACTCCAACTTCCTATGCCTTAATGCTTGTACTTCCTCCACCATTCTAGTCATGCGGCTGCTGGACGTTTTTACTTATTTTCTCACTCTATAGACCATCTTAACAACGGATTCAACTTGGAGATGGTAGCTAAGCCTAAGGCGCAACTTCCTACCGAGCGGATTTGCGTTTAGTTGAGAATTGAGTTCGTCGTAAGCTCTCAAAGTGACGGATCCTGAACAACAGAGGGGCTAGGCCAATCGCGATTGGCGAATGCCTAACGAGGCTGGCAGCCAAGGCTGCCTTGTTAATTATGGGTGAACAGGTCTGCGAACTTTTCCTACCGCTAGAGTACGGGGTGGCAGTACCAGGTGGAGCAGAGGCAGTAATCCACGCAACCAAAGTTTTTTCGGATGCCCGCCCGGACAGCCTGGTATTGCAAGCTGACATTTCAAACGCGTTCAACAGCATTTCGCGGACCGCCATCACCGACATGTTACACGAGCCCACCCTCTCGCCGCTGCTGCCGCTTGTAAAACTGACATACGGTAACCCGTCGCAAGTGCTACTGGACTACAATTTGAACAGCGCACCACTAACAAGTGAATGCGGCGTGCGCCAAGGAGACCCACTTGGGCCGCTATTGTTTGCAGCAGGGATACACGCCACACTTCGCGAAACAGCCGAAGCACACCCTGACATGCTGTGCTTGGCATATGCAGACGATGTCACCTTCATGGGTGACACAGCCCGCACTGTAGCTGCATTCACATACTTCACGGCCAAGTTGGTGCACCTGGGCCTCGAGCATAACCCACAGAAGTGTGCTGCTTAGAGCTCAAGCGCAATCAACACAGCTTGCCTTCCGCAAGGAGTGTCGTTCACTAAGGACGGCGTGCAGTTACTAGATAGTTTCGTGGGGCCGGAAAGCGGCGCCGCTCAGTTCCTAGCGGGACAAATCGCCGAGATGTCAAAACCCCTACCCCTGCTCGAGCGAGCAGACCCCCAGGTAGCAGCACTGCTGCTCACGCGATGCATCTCGCGACGAGTTGCATACCTCACCAGGTTGACACCACTCCATCTCCTCCCCCGTGATAGATGGAGCCAGTGGGGTAGGGATCTGCTCGCCACGCTCCTCACATCGTGCGATATCCGCGTTCCGACTTGTCGAACCGAATAAACGCGGGTTTGGGATCAGGCGTCGCTGCCGCCATCTTTAGGAGGACTGGGCATCACTGACCCCCTAGTTGAGGGGATTTATGGTTTCGCAGCCAGCTTTATACAGGCGGTGCTCTATCTCAGGTGCCTGCCGCTGGAAGAGGATAATGCTCTCACTCTAGCACGGAACCATATGCTACTGCCGCGGGTCGACAGCACACCGCTACACACATGGCTGACCGAGTGCGAGAAGGCGCTGCCGCTAGATGCGCAGGAGATACCGGAGAAGGAGCGGCTTGAGCGTTCTGATATCCGGCTCCAAAACGTGCTAGGACTTAAGGTCCACGAGAGCAGATACGCAAAGCAGGTGCAGGCGACGAAGCGCATGAAGCCGAATCCGCTTGCAGGTCACACGCAGCCGATGTTTTCACTGACTGGCTACGGCACAGGCGAGTGGCTCACCGCGACCCCCATCGCTCCCGCAAGGCGGATAGGGCCAGTGCACTTCGCCAACGTGGTCCGCTTCCGACTTAGCCTACCGTTTTCAACTCCTAAGAACTGTGACTGCACGGACAACACGCCTATCACTGACCCGCGCCTCCCAAACCACCTGCTCCGCTGCGGCACAGGAGAGCACCGTACGAACACGCACAATGAGCTGCGCGACGCCTGCGTCAGCATGGCGCAAGATGTGGGGTTCATAGTACACAAGGAGTAGGCCGCCTACTGCCCTATCGAGGAGCAAACGGCCGACTTCACCATGACCAATAGAAGTAATGGAGCGGTTTACATCTGTGACGTTACCATCACCGACCCTATCAGCACTAGGGACCCGGAAGCACAAAAGGGCAGGGGATGGGCAGCACGTGAACAAGCTGATAAGAAAATCCAGCATTACGCCAACCGCCCGGAGACAGTTGGCTTCTTCCCACTGGCAGTAGACACCTACGGCTGCCCATGCGCCGAGGTACCTGTCTTCCTCAAGCTCCTGGCAGACACAGCGGCTCGGCGCCACTTCAACGCTGACTCAAAATCTTTCTATGCCGCCAAGTTTCTGCACCAATTCAGGCAGAGGTGGTCGGTGGCCCTTCAAAGGGCCCAATCCGTGGGGCTCCTAATCAAGTTGAGTGAGGCGGCAGCAGCAGAGAACCCACCCGTAGGAGGAATAGGGCAGGAGTTGCACCTAGGGGACTGTTTTACGGTGGTGGAGCCTCTCCTTGAGCTATGGAGGGTGTAGTGGTTTTGCTCTGTGGATCCATCATGTTTTGGTTTGTGCAATCTGGCATGTGTGTACCTTTCTAACCTATCAATAACCGGACCATTAGAGAGAGAGAGAGAGAGAGAGAGAGAGAGAGAGAGAGAGAGAGAGAGAGAGAGGCCCTAGGAGCTAGTCCTTAGCCTCTCCAGCCCCCCTCCAGCCTAGTATAAAGGCCCTAGGATCTGTTCCTAGTGCCTCATTATTCGTTTCATAGTTCATGTGCCCTCCTAACCGAGCGGGAGAGAGAGCGAGAGAGAGAGAGAGAGAGAGAGAGAGAGAGAGAGAGAGAGAGAGAGAGAGAGAGAGAGAGAGAGAGAGAGAGAGAGAGAGAGAGGCCCTAGGAGCTAGTCCAAGCGGAGAAGGCGACGAAATTGATTTCAGAATGGCCAATAATG